TAAAAAAAAAAAAAAAAACTCACACCGGGCATGTGTGCATGTGTGCCCAAGATCCTAAGAGGAGAATGGAGAAGGGACTATGGCATGGCCATCCCCGGGGGCGGGGGGGGGTGATTTCTCGCTTTCTGTTTCTGTCTTTGGCAAGCGCATATACCCTATAGCAAAAATCTCTCTTAAAAAAATGTTTTAGGGGGACCAGCAGTTAGTGTAATGGCTATGTCGCTGGACTCCCACGTAGTCGACCGTGGTTCAAGTCCCAGACCTGGTGGCTTAAACTCACGCTGGGCGCGTGTGCGTGCGTGCCCAAGATCCCGAGAGGAGAATGAAGGAGAAGAGATTGCGGTGTGGCCATCCCCCATGGGGGGTGATTTTTCGCTTTCTGTCTCTCTGTCTCTCTCTGTCTGTCTGGCGAGCGCAAAAACCTCTTCAAAAAAAAAGAAAAGAAAAAAGTTTTAGGTTTATCAGTAATGAGAGTAAAATCAGTTTCCTTGTTTGGTTTATGTGGTAATTTGATGAAAATGAAGTACACGGTTTCCTAAGTATGGAGAGGGAGGAGGTTGAAGTGGCTAGTTAGGATATAGAATTATTTGTGGTTCTCCAAAGTGCCAGTTAAGGATTCTACCCAATATGTATATATTGTTTTAATTTGCTAAAGGGTACATGTATTCACCAGAGAGACCGAGAAAGTGAGAAAGTACCCCTCAGGAGGGATGACTGTACTGCAGTCCCTTTTCCTTAATTCTTCTCAAGATTTCGGGCACACATGCATATACATACACCTGGTTTGTTTTTTTAAGCTGCCAAGGCTGGGACTCAAACCTCACAGTGGGCCATGTGGGATCCAGCATGCCACCTGGCAGGCCTGGATTCCACCCAATTTTTAATTCAACAAATGTTTGTTGAGAACTTGCTTTGTGCCAGACCCTGTGTTAGGTACCCTGTGGATATAAGGCAGTGAACAAGACAAATCCCTGTTCTTATAGTACTTTTTTGAGACAAGACACTTTTGTTGCCTTTTTTTTTTTTTTTCAAAGAATTATTTATTTGTCCACTTCATTCTTTTAATTTGCCAGAGACAGAGTTAGAGAGAGAGAAAGTGAAAAAGCAAGCTGTCAGGTCCAGGACTCAAACTGCTGTCTGTCATATGGGAGTCCATTGCCCTTATCCACCATGCCACCTGCTGACACCTTAGTTTTGTTTTGTTTTTCCTTAGTTTTGTTTTTAATTTGCGGATGTTGGGGTATTAAATTGAGAAGGTCTTTGAAGTATTTTCATATTGTCTTTTTTATCAGGACAGTCTTGAAATTACCTTTTAGAAATTTAGAGATTTGAAGCAACCTTTTTTCTTGTGAGCATGGAACCTAGACTCCACAGAGATAGTATAAGATCCCCGGAATATGAGAATATGCCTTAAAGGGGAAAAGAGTTGCGTCATTTCATTGGTATTTTTTTCTACTTATTACAGGCGCCATGATAGTAGTGGGAGTGGACATTCAGCTTTTGAGCCCTTAGTGGCCAATGGAATTCCTGCT